GTCCTGTTACTCCATCACCCTGAATATAACATTGGCATTTTATTTTCATATAAGTTTGCCGCATATTAAATAATTGATTATTACACGCTCAATTTGTGCATGTAGATCAATTGGAAATGTCTGATTTTATTAATCAGTAATTAAACTGCATCTTTGTGGCACAGGTTGACGCGACGCATCCTGTGTTGTAGTGGCGCCGTGAAACTTCAATTCCGTACCTTCACGGAGGGAGGCAATAGAATAATATTCAACAACAGACTCGCTTTATAAATTTCATTATGGACAAGTAAACATTCCAACTAGGCTTCCAAAATCGTGTTATTGCACGTTTATATTTTTTCATAAATGTTCCGTTGACTGTATCTTGGTGGGCATGTCTGTGCGTTCAGGTCAGGCACGTGCCATGCCGTGGTGATGTGGATGGAATACCTCCTCACCGATGAGCTGCACATCATGACAGGCTTGAAGCAGCCACCTTCCCAGCAGGTCCATATTCGCTAGACAGCGCCGACGATCCGTGCCAATTCACCACCCGGGTTTCTGCTATCTCCGTCAGTCATTGCAGTTGGCGGCGGGAACTCTACAGCAGAATCTGTATTCGATTTGCACGAATCACTTGACAAATGTTGCACCTTGTTGTTGTACTAGTTGTGTTCATTACATTTTCTCCTTTGAAAAAAATAATCAGCCATCCACTGGTGCACGAGACCTCCCCATGTAATTCCTATCCCTCACGGTCTTACAATGCGTTAATCAATTTCATATCTACACATGAGCAAATCACGTCTTTCTTCCATAGTGTTCATCCTCTCACAAGTGTTGTCTCCTTCAGCTGCCATTCTATCACTAGTTTCATCAATTGGCCATCTTCCATTCAAGTGATGTCTCCTGCCTTTGCTCAAGTAATTTCATTAGCAGTAATTCCCACCACACAACTCTTCATGCTAATTTGCACGTCTCAGTCATTTTGCCATCGTCTTCGTGAGTACCAAGGTTGCTGATCAATCATACGTAATAGAAAAAAATATGGCCTCTCCTTCATGTGTCTGATCACTGCTGGATGAGGGCCTCATCACACCTGCGTGGGTAGTGGGGGTTATTTGGCCACACTGGTCTGTGCATGCTGGTAAAAGCAGGTTGAATAAACGTTGGAGCGTAGAAGTACAGTGAAATGATGGCTTTTTTCCGCACTGCCATATGCTACCCACAAAGTCACCCCTCAAGCCCTATGACAACCTGCTTGGTCATCGAAGCACTTGCCAGGTTCAACTCTGCTTTGTTTCCGAGATTTGATGAGATCGGGCACTTTGCTCAGAAAAGACAAGACTCGCCAAATCTCAATATTCTGTTTGAGAAGGCATCTTAATTTCAAGTTGGTTTATTTTATATTAATACGTATTTGGTTTCATGTGGGAGGAAACTGGACAACTGGGAGAGGAAAAAAACCCACACACATGAGGGTTTAACTTTTAAAGCACTATACAGAATCAAGAATCCTTGACTCCTACTGCTATCTTTTGTCGACCTCATATGAAAGCCTGGAAGTTTGCTTTTTTCTGCAGAACCTAGAGCCTCAGTATAGCACTCTATGCACAATCCAACTCACCAGCTCTGATGGCGATAATGGTGGTAATGGCAGTAGAGGTTGCGTGACTGCTGTGGCTGTGTCGACTGTTGTGTGTGTGCAGGGGGAGTGTGTGTGGAACCCCAACACCAAGCAAGCGGTCTTCTTCCTCGGCAACCCCCGTTCCCTGGAAGAGGGCGACGCCATCAACTTCTCCTTGCACTTCCATCCCAACACTGGAGAACTCAAGACGGTCTTTGCGGTGGAGGCAAAAACCTCCGAGTAAAACAAATAAAAATTAATTTGTTGAATCCTGTTGATAATATTAACAGAGGATACTGTTATGAATGCTGTCGGGTGAAAGTGTGATCACAGGCTTTATAGACATGGAAATGAAAATCCATGCAGATCAGCTGTTAGCATGGCAAGCTGGCTTGCCCCCAAGGCCCTCACTGGGGTGGGTTTTTTTGTTTTTAGTTTCAGTGGCTTTCTCAATTTGGTAGCCGTTTAATGAGTTCTGCTTCAGAGCCATCTTTAGAGAAGACGAGAATACATGTGCCACCATTCAACTGAATATACAATATTCGTACAGGAATTATATATGAAGTTGCAGCCTGCGTTATTTGTGAAATGAGTTATTATTAGTGGTTTTTATTGTCGTTTTAAAGTTTGATACGTGTATGCCAGATCTGGTTGATTATGTTTATTACATTCCAGCTTAAAAATATTTTTTTTCATCCAACATCTTTTTGGTGGACTTATATTTGTGTGTGTGTGTACTGTTCAATGCATTATGATGCTCGGGAAGGAACAATCCGCATTCGTTCAGTTGCCTTTACAGACCACGATAGGTTCATGATTATTAATAACCAAACCCCAAATTATGAAATGTCAAGAAGTGACTCACAAGCCACTTCATTATTACACAACACTAATTCCTGGAACGGTAGTGCAAATTTCTTTGTGGGTATACGTGAGTGTATTTGGCTGCACTTTAAAAAAAATATTCACATTTGAGTATCACCCAGTAAGAACTACTAGTTTACCACTAAACTAGATTCAATACCAACATCATTTCCCGAGTAATTGATGAGCAGTGGACAATTATGCATGGCTGATTAACCAGCTTACAATGGAAGTCCAGTTTAGCATGGAAGTCCAGTTCACCGTGGAAGTCCAATTTACCATAGAACTCCAGTTCACCATGGAAGTCCAGTTTATTATAGAAGTCCAGTTCACCATGGAAGTCCAGTTCACCATGGAAGTCCAGTTTACCATGGAAGTCCAGTTCACCAAAGCAGTTCAGTTCACCATGGAAGTCCAGTTCACCAAAGCAGTTCAGTTTATCATGGAAGTCGAGTTCCCCACGGAAGTCCAGTTCACGAAAGCAGTTCAGTTCACCATGGAAGTCCAATTTACCATGGAAGTCCAGTTCACCGTGGAAGTCCAGTTCACCATGGCCAATATTCATCCGGCTAGTCGTGGTTTTACACAACACCCGTCGTTTACGTGAAACAAGTTATTTGGCGCGACTGCGCTAGTTGGTGGTTCACAACTAGAAGAAGACCCCCCCCCCCAAAAAAAAAGCCACTGTGACCTTAATAAAAAAACACATCTAATCATAGCTGTCAATCCACATGGTTTACCCCGTATTCTTGTCACAGGGAAATTGGAGTTTTCAGGTCCATAACGGCGCACAGCCGTTTCAATACGGGCGAGACAAATGGTCTATTTGCTTCTCCCTTGTGATAGAACTTTTGTAGGATGGACGTTGAGCTGTGTAAGGGCAGAGGGTGACCAATAAGGTCTGAATTGGTCTGTAGTAAGGTAGGGGGGCACTGATAAGGGGTTGACAGGGATGTAGTGGTGAGTGTACTAGTGGTGAGTATAGGAGTGGGTGTACTAGTGGTGAGTGTAGTGGTGAGTATAGGAGTGGGTGTACTAGTGGTGAGTGTACTAGTGGTGAGTGTAGTAGTGGTGAGTATAGGAGTGGGTGTACTAGTGGTGAGTGTACTAGTGGTGAGTATAGTAGTGGTGAGTATAGGAGTGGGTGTACTAGTGGTGAGTGTAGTAGTGGTGAGTATAGGAGTGGGTGTACTAGTGGTGAGTGTAGTAGTGGTGAGTATAGGAGTGGGTGTACTATTGGTGAGTGTACTAGTGGTGAGTATAGGAGTGGGTGTACTAGTCAGTATAGTAGTGGTGAGTATAGGAGTGGGTGTACTAGTGGCGAGTGTAGTAGTGGTGAGTATAGGAGTGGGTGTACAAGTGGTGAGTGTACTATTGGTGAGTATAGGAGTGGGTGTACAATTGGTGAGTGTATTAGTAGTGGTGAGTGTACTAGTGGCGAGTGTACTAGTAGTGGTGAGTGTACTATTGGTGAGTGTATTAGTAGTGGTGAGTGTACTATTGGTGAGTGTATTAGTAGTGGTGAGTGTACTAGTGGTGAGTATAGGAGTGGGTGTACTAGTGGTGAGTGTACTAGTGGTGAGTGTATTAGTAGTGGTGAGTGTACTATTTGTGTTTCTCCCTTGTGATGGTACTTCTGTAGGATGAACGTCGCGATGTATAATGGCACGGGGGGAGGTGACCAGTCATGTCTGAATCGGTCTGTAATAAGGTATGGGGCAACCGATAAGGGGTGTCCATCGACAGGTACGAATTTTAACGATACAAACGAAAATTTGAATTTTTTGGGGTCTTTCGGTAAAGTCCCTTCTACGTGACTTTACCGAAAGAACCAAGAATGTGAATTCCTGCAGTCACGAAAGCTTTAAATCGAAATTTCACGTGGATAAATTTCGATTTAAAGCTTTCGTGACTGCAAGGATTCATCTTCTTTGGTTCTTTCGGTAAAGCCACGTAGAATGAGAATAAAATAATACATTGATAAAATGAAATAACACAATAAAAATTATCACGATGTTTCGGCCACAACACAAGCGGCCTTCATCAGGTGAAGGGACGAGACTGTCTGGAGGACAGCGCTGGAGTGAAAAAGCCACGCTCAGATCGCGACCTTTAAGCTGTGTGAGAAGAAACAAAGCGCCTTGACAAAGGAATTAGCATTGCATTTAGCATTGAAATAACTGAGTGATTAGCTTGTAACTGGTCACAGAAATAGCTATGTTAAAGTCAGATCCACAGATGCATCTAGTACAAATCAAACAGGAGAATTTAGCATTGAATAGGTTCAAAAATAAATAACTACGACGTTTCGTCATCAGGACGATCGCTTGTGTTGTGATCGAAACGTAGTTTATTTTTTTTCCAACCCAATCAACGTAAACTTTACCGAAAAACCCGAATAATGTGAATTCCCGCGGTCACGAAAGCTTTTTAAGTCGATAAAAATTGTTTTTATTACTCAATTGGAAATGCAAAACTCACCTCTGAAACCCAAGAATCGTGGGTGGCCAGGGCGGTGACGTCATGCGCGCACCCGGAAGTGGGCGATTGGCGCGCGCCACGTGGGCGGGGTGGCTGCGGTTAGCAGCAGCAGCACGCGAGCAGCAGCAGCAGCTGACGATTATTGTTCAGCATAATCGCGAACTTGCTTTAGTTACACCTCGCGTCGTCGATTAAAAACAAAAAAGTACAATACCGATTGTACGCAATCCCAAGGGGGGTTATTTACACCGCTCGCTTGCGAGGCGAACGGCTTGGTTGGCTTGAGGTGGTGGTGGTGGCGGCGGGGGGCACCGTTTTAGCAGTAAGAGTAACAAACATCGCCGCCTGTGCTTGCTTGCTTGCTGCTGCTGTGTTTTACACGTGCGGTGTGTCGTTGTTGGTTCTGGTGGAATCATGCCGCCCGTGCGCAGTGGTCGTGGTAAGTCCTGTACTGCGCGTGCTCTGCTTCGCGGGCCATAATAACAATTGAGTAATTTGTGGTTTATCAACGTGCTAGGCTGATGGTGATGGTGGAGCGACTTCCTGAGAATGACTTAAGTCTGACTCTACTCTTTGGTTCTATTCGGTAAAGTCGCGTAAGAAAAAAAAATCACGACGTGACTTTACCGAATAGAACCAAAGAGTATGGATCCTTGCAGTCACGAAAGCTTTATATCTAGAATTAAGTCTCGTATGGCTGATGTGGATGGGGAGCAACGACGAGGTAGAGGTCCTCTCCGGTTGCAGTACCACGAGTGATCGACGCCACGGGCCGAGTCAAAACGAGTCGGCCTTAGAAAGCGCGGGAAACCAAAACAGTGTGGTCCACATGTCTTGTGCCCCCCTCCCCACTATTTCACAGTTTTGAACATTTAGAATTGCCCTGTGAGCTAAGAAGCTCTTGAATCAGGTTTCATCAAAACTGAAAAAAATATAATTAAAAACATTTGCAACAGGTCGCATAAAAATTATGAATGCAACACAGCAATGAAAAAAGTCAACAAATTTTTAAAAAGCTACAATATATTACTTAATTATAAATTACATATGTAACTAAACTGAACATTAAGATTAGAGAAACATTGCAAAATAGTGCATCTAGAGCGAGGAATAAGATTCAAAAACGAGGAGTAGAAACGCCTTTGGTAAAATAGTTTTCCTGTGCAAACAATAAATTCGAAGTAACACTAGTAATCAACAATCACCATGACATTGCGCACATCACAACAGAACATGATAAAAAAAACGTATGCCATCTTCTTGCTTCAGCAGTGGCAGATTGGTAGGAATGCACTTGACAAGTGATTTAGGATGATTGAGCGAAGGTGGTGACTAAATTAAGTTTTGTGGTCATTATTCCAGAGACTAGGGGTGGCCACTGATAATGCCCGTTTACCAAAACCTTTTTTGTACCTCGGAACATTCAACAAAGACAATGATGAGCTCATTTTAGGAGTATTTGTTGGATCTGTCAACAGATCTAACAAATACTCTGCCGAATTCGAACTAAGGTCATTTTAAATAAATAAAGTGAATAATTCTGCGATCATGGATGGATGTTAGGCCAGTCTCTCTATAAGTCACAATGATGTGTCTTATAAGGGGCATCCAGAGCAAATCTTAGAGCCGAATGTTACGTTGGGTTGAGCTTATTTAGCAATGAATTTGATGCAGACTGATAATGTCACAGTAATCAAATAAAGGCAACCAACTCAAGACGAAGTTTAGCTGCGAAACAATATTTATGCCGATAAAGAAAGCCAGTTGAAATTTTTACTTTTTTTCAGTATGGTCAATATGATCCTGGAACAGTTCAATCTATTATGAGCCCAATGCAATTCGTTTTGTTTACCTGTTCAATAAGTTTGTTTTCAGTGCTCTACAACTTAACATTCTTTTTTATATGTAAGGTTTAAAAACAAATGCATATGCAAAGAGGATTTGGGGGGGGGGAGCGGTCACAAGACATGTTTACTGGACGCCTGTGGAAAAAGAGCTTGATAGCTCATCGGATTCCACCATAAAAAAATATTTGATCTGGACCACTCTGTGCTGTGCGAACAGCGTGCCGTTGAAACCACACGAATCGGTGTAATTTCCCCCCCCCCAACCCAAAAAGAATATAATCACATTTGAGATTCTGAATTAATTCCTTAAAATGCGAATTTTAAGTAAGTCCGTTACCTTGCCTATAAGTTATGTTATCACGAAATTGCGTGCGTTTTGAGTTGCCATATAACGGAGTGACGGCTATTCTTTTGATGCGTACTCGTGCAGGTAGATATCAGAGAGGGGCCGTGCATGGTTTTATGTTGAACTTCTTTCGCACCGTACGTTGCCAACCGTGCTAATCGGAGGTACGGAGAAACTAAACAGAGCATTTCCAAAGACATTAGTTTTCCTTAGAAAGCAGGTAGGGTGGTGATGACCTGTCAGGGACGCGTGTCCATACCTGTCAACCCCTTATCAGTGCCCTAACTTATTACAGACTAATTCAGACATTATTGGTCACCACCGTGCCCTTATACATTTCGACGTTCAACCTACAAAGTCCTATCACAAAGGAGAAAAACAAGCAAATAGAGAAAAAAAATTGCCCGTATTGAAACGGCTGTACGCCGTATGGACCTGAAAACGCAATTTCCCTGTACAAGAATACTGGGTACACCTATGGGTTGACAGCTGTGCATGTCGGCAACGGAGTGGCTCATTGCTCCCACAAGACAGGCACCGCTGTCACCAGGTTTACGTTTGTATTGTGGCGAACGGCTGCAGGGCCACCGTTTTAGATGAAAGGGTTGGCGGATCACGTAGAGGTTTGTGTAACCTTCGCTCACACCTGCTGGGCTTACCAGGTGGCTGTATAGCGGGTGGGATCGTGAACCCGTTTGTGAACGCGAGTGCTTTCGTATCGTGTTTCCGTCAGGTAAACTGGTTAACTTCCACACGAAGAGAAACACTTTTTGGCCAAATGCAAATCCCTCGGTGTGAGTTTTATGCCGGATTGCATTGTGGATTAAACACAAACCTACCCACCTGATGACAGACACTTGTGTTGCGCCTGAAACGTGATTTATTTTATTTTATACCTACGTGACTTTACCAAAAGAACCAAAGAGTAAGCCATCTGGAGTTCCTGAGGAAGTGCTTTGTGTTCTTAAGGAACCACACTGGACCCACTTCCATATTTGACACGCCATGGGGAGGTCTCCAGCAGTGGATTTACAGGACTAAATAGAAAATGTTAGGGTTTAACATTTTCAGGCCTTTATCGATAAGATCCCGAATGTCATGTCGGCCATGGATGGTTGACCATACCGCACCACGCTGGTCAATGCAGGGTTAGTGAAGTGAGCAACCAGGACAATAAATCATGTGTGCTTGACTTCGAGAGAACTTAGGTACCAAAATAATTTTAAACATCTCATCATGAATTTAACTCGGGTTTCCAGGTTCAGGATGTGGTACGCGAACCACTACGCAACCACTCCACCCCGATTATATTATCTACACAACTTGTCCATTATTCCCCTCATCACTTATTTTGAAGTTAGAATTTTAATGTACGACGCATAAGCTAGATGTGGGGATGCTGACCGTGAGGTCACCCGGCCTGGAGGAGCTTTTGTTCGTTTCTTGCGTCTCGTTTTGACACAGCCCCAAGTATGGGTTCAAAAAAAGCCCCGGCTGGAAATGCATTGAACTGGGTTGGCCGCTGGTACTGGGAGGACGATGGGGAGAACTGGACTCCCTACTCGGACGAGCAAAATGAGCTCATCTGCAACGCCTTCAGGTTTGTGGCACAGCAGCAGTCATGGTGGCGAGTCCCAATTTATGAGGCAGGGTGGTGAGAATGATTACTCATTGCACTGGCTGCTGACCCCATGCATTACAATCTTGTAATCAAACCTGTGTGGTAGCCAGCATTCTCAATTATATGAGTTTATTTTTCCAGATAAAAACATGTAGCAATACAGTTACGATATAATTTGGATCCTTAAATGTGATTGCATCTCTCGATGCCGGACAGAAATTGTGAACATAGTTATTTTATTGAGACGGGCAGTCAGTCATAGAGGAAACAAGGAAGGTCCATTGTTTAGCTATAATATAGGCAGGCAGTCGACAGCATGGATGGCTGGGGGAAAGGAGTTTACAGATTGGGGTTCGCAGAGTAGAATGAGTGGTGATTAATATAATTGTTGATTGTACATGGAACCATTTCAACAGCAGAAATTGACATTAAATCGCTGTTACAATTACATTGTGATTGAAATTACAGCATAATTACAATTGTTTGACTAGGCGTCAGCTGGTTAATTTGTCTATGCCTTTATATGAATTACACGCTCAGTAGTGGACCAAACAACATGTTCAATGCAGGGCGGTTTGAATCGATGTTGCGCACAGTTCATGCATTGTCAGGCACTTTGTGATGCTGTCACAATGTATTTAACTTCATGAGGCGAAAAGAAACCCATTCAAAATGAATTATTGATAAGCACGTGGCGCGTTGTGTTGCCACTGTTGTCACAATAGGACGAGCAAGAAAACTGTCTCGATAAAGCTGGCCTCTGGCATTGCCTTCAAAGTTATTTTCGACAACATGGTACAGCAGAACAGCCAGTCCGCATTCAAGAGGAGGATCCGGCTTGCATTGGAGGATGGAGATTTCTGTAAGCACTTGATTCTACAATTTCCCACCATGTTAAGTTGTCACCTGGTTAAACAAATACAATATTAATCTTAAAAGCACCGCGACACTTGTGGTATTGGCTTTTGAACGCACATTCCTATCGCGTGCATTTGCGGCCAACCCTCACCGCGTTTGATCTTCGCAGCTTTTCATCGTCGTTGCCTCTTCGAAGCCCATCGTCCTCCCGTTGCCACCAAGTTGTCCCGCTGCCATCACCTTCTCTCCCTTTCGCTCCGCAGACGTGTGGGAGTGGGAGGCAGACGGTCCATCGTGGGTCGTGTACGATGCGCACAGCTGCGTGAAGCTGGAGGGCGCCCACCGTGCCAAGAGTGCGACGCTGGACCTGAGCACCGGCGGGCACGCGTACCGGGTGGACCTGAACGCCCTGACGCAGACCAACGTGGCCACGGGCACCGTTCGTGCAGTTCGGCGGCAGCCAGGTTCGTTGCAAAAAGTGGACCGGAGCCTTACCGTGCATCTTTATGCACTGGATTTGTTGGTGCTAGTTTTGTACCAATCTCGTCCAGGCTGTCCTTGGACGTGTGTGGTATTTTTCCACGAGCATTTATCTAGGGGTTCCCCCGATAGCAGCTGCCCCTCTAGCACGAATTTAAGTCATCATCGGCTTGTAAGGTGGCATTAGACTGCCAGTAGGGGCCATGTTGCAATGAGGCTTCAATGAAATTCAGAGTAATTGATCAAATTTGACAATTTCCAGTGGTTCTCGTTAACACTTTGGGGTATTTACCACTTTGCCATTCACCCACAGTTACTCGCCCCTCCCTGAATGTTCTTTATGGCCCACGTATTTTCTAAGGGGTGTGCAGCCTGTTTTGTGCACAGTCCGTATTGGAAATATCCTAGCTCCCCACAGGTCGAACGTGATGTCACAGTTGCCTCCTGTTCACAGCAAACAGCTCGCCGATACGTTAGGCGTGTTTTCACGCATCCCTGATTCTCACGGGCTGATGAATACCACATCGCGGGGCTGCAAATTGCAGGACCCCTTGCTTGGTCTGTCTCAAAGTGCCGCGCCATAGTCGCTCTCTTCGCAAACCACACCGCTCGACACAGACCGACTTAAGTAAATAGAGCACACCCCTCCCCTTTTAACTAGAGGCCATCCCTCCGCTTATTTCTCTGCGTGCGCGACGCAGTCGGTAAAACAGATACGGATGCCAATCCGGGCGGGAGCCAGGGAGTCGAGGGCATCGAGGTCAAGCAGGAGGCAAAGCCAAAGGAGGAGGAGAAGCAGAAGGAGCTGCCCAGATCGACGGAGGGCGGAGGAGATCTGGTTGGCGGCGCTCGAGCTACGCGGAGCGGCGTCAAGCGTGGCCGCCAGCCGTCACAGCCACCGCTGGAGTCCAACGGTGCCGAGGAGTCGGACGCTCCACCCAGCAGGAAGCCGCGCTCGGGCAGGAAATCCGTGAAATCGGAAACCAAAGCTGCCCCGGAAACGAGCGAGGGGCAAAGCGACACTCCTGGTTCCAGCGAAGGTGAACGCTCGTTAGTTCATTGTAAACATGCCAGTGTCGGACCCTTCCTCGGGACAGAGTGACACTTTTTCCAAAATGTAATTCTTGAACGCGCGTGACAACTAGAACAAATACAAAGGTATACTTTACAGGTGTACAGCACACTGCTTGGCGATTTATCCCAAATCAATAATTGGAATCGAATATTTTTCCCATTGGGACGATTGTAACTGCCAGTATTTTTTATATTTTGGCAAAGTGTGCAATATAGCGGTGATACTTGGAAATTGCCACTAAAATACCATTATTTTGAATGGAGATCAAGGAATTGCCATTCAGATGGATGAGGTTTCTATGTATGATTTTTAAGCGGGCAATGAATCCCCTTCATGGAAATAGAGGTTACTGCTGTGAACAGCAATCGTTTAAAGTCGAAGGATCGTCCAATAAAATTCCATTATTGTATTTCATTTTCAAATTAATGGGATTATAGTGGCGATTCCAAGGATCGCCACTAGATGGCAAACTTATCCCATTAGAATCCAATTCAGTTGAATGGAGAGTGTAGCATGCAGATCACCCATAGCAGAATAGCGATTACTACAGAAATCAACTGGACTTAACATAATTGCTGATTTAATACGTCGGATTAACAACCAATGTTATGATTCATTTATTTTTGGGTCAGATCGCGTGAGTGCAATGGCAGTGTTGTGTCATAGAGCCTGTTTCGCTCAAAACAGCCAAATAAATAAAACGTGCCAGTTTTTTATTGCTTCAACAGACCGGTATGTTGATTGGTCACACCGTTTAACAATTAGGTACATCGTTTCGCTGGTAATTACACATTAGGCAATTGCCAATGTTACAACACCTGTAGTAAAAATGTCCTTTGATTCACACACACAGATGAGCATGAAGTAGCAGGAAGTAATACCTGGAGGTTAATGTGTCCATTAATTTATTATACATTACAGTCAATTACGATAAACTATTTTGTTTATTATGAAGCATTGTTGATAATGTAACGATGTCGGTAATGACGATGCTGACGGCCTTTTCTGCCAGCAGTGGTGAAGACGATCGTGATGAACGGGAGGGCTCCTGTGGACCCGGAGTGCAAGGCAAAGCTGGGCAAGGTGAGACAAACACTTCCATTTCACCGACATCCGCTTACAGCCAAGTGCCCTCGTCAAAGAGAAGAGGGAGCCGTTGGAGCGTAAAGCAGAATATTTCACATGCTGAGGTCAAACAAACAAAAAACTCGGCCTCGCTTAGCATCCGACGTGTGCTCAAGTCCAAGGTAACTTGAGATACAAAAATAAATGTCAAAATCTGATAAGCAGTTTTGTTTGAGGCAGAGTTGGTGGGTCACACAAGATTAAATTTATGTTTCGACTACCAAAATGTGTGGGTCGTGATGTGGCTGGCAGATGGCGGAACCCATTAGTGTCGTGTGCGACAGTGAGGCTCCTGACTCGAAAGGGGCTTTGGAGAACCTCCGGGCTTATTAGAGATGGCAGTAGAGTTGCGGACCCTTGAACCTCTCTGAGCAGAGCTTTAGTTGTCATCCCCTGCGTGTGCATCGTAAGTTTCGTACGGGTACTCTGGATTCGTTTTGCATGCCGAACGCTCGTCCGTGGAAATTGGCCGTATATGCCCAATGCAGGGCCCTGTTGAAAAGAAGCCTCTCGTTGAGGCTTTCTCAGGTTGATGAAGTCCATCCATTTTATTATATCTGTATTAAAGTGGACAATAAGTCAAAACGGTACCGCGTTTTGTGACGGCGATGTTTAATCTGTCTCAGGCGCACGTGTACAGTGAGGGAAACAACGTTTACGACGTCATGCTGAACCAGGTGAGGCCCTCGCTCATTAGCTCCTGCCTTCACCCAGCGATCTAGTCAACTGGCAGGTGGGTGAGGTGGTACAACAAGTAGGGTTATGATATACTATTCCTGAAAAATGTATGTGCCTTATTCTTAGTTTTTTCGGTAAAGTCACGTTGAAGAGAAACAACAAAATAATAAAATATATATAAAACAATAAAAAATTCTCACGACGTTTCGACCATAACTCAAACGGTCATCATCAGGTGTGTCGGTTTGCATAAATTTATTTTGAAAACGGCATATTTATTTATATATATAAAAAAATAACGTTTGCGTCACGCGCAACGATTGGCAGTTTGCCCAGGACTAGTCCATCTATTTTTTGAAAAGAGGAGGGGGGAGACGAAATTTGTTTTTATGTATGCTGTCTGAAAGCCACTGTAAGCGTGAACAATCAATCAAGAACTGATAAATCATTTCAGTTCTTGATTGATTGTTCACGCTTACAGTGGATTTCAGACAGCATACATAAAAACAAATTTCGTCTCCCCCCTCCTCTTTTCAAAAAATAGATGGACTAGTCCTGGGCAAACTGCCAATCGTTGCGCGTGACGCAAACGTTATTTTTATATATATATAAATAAATAAATATGCCGTTTTCAAAATAAATTTATGCAAACCGACACACCTGATGATGACCGTTTGAGTTATGGTCGAAACGTCGTGAGAATTTTTTATTGTTTTATATATATTTTGTTATTTTGTTGTTTCTCTTCAACGTGACTTTACCGAAAAAACTAAGAATATGAATTACTGCAGTCACGAAAGCTTTAAATCAAAATGTATGTGCCTTGCCCCCTTCTATTAGTGGGCTTGCTCTGGACTTTGAAGTTCCTTTCTACATGAACAAAAAAGGAAATTAAATCCAAGCAAAAATCACGATGCCCTTTTATCACATTGGTAATGATTGGTTCTCGCTCATGGCATTGGTTTGAGAGGCCAAACATTGCTCATATGACTGTTAAGTTGAATCTATTGCTGGTTTGCTTTGCTGAAAGAAGTTCTGCTGTGAAATATTAAGCTTAAAGGCCCATTGGTTCATATATTAAACATGAGAAAGCTTCAGTCCTATAACAAATCTTCGAATCAATTATTTCTATGAACATTATTTCACACGTCACAATTCATCTCCCCTGCACCCACCCCCAATTCGATACATTTTCACGAATTAGGGTGACGGTTTTATTGTGGTGGATTTTCTTCTGTCTAGTATGTAATATATCATCTGCCTCTTTGGTTCCATTAGCCTAGAGGTAACGTTTACACTGAACTCGCATTAATCGTAGATAATCGGCCTGTTATTTTATTGTTTAGGTTCATGCATCATTAGTATAATAATGTTTTTTTTACCAAACTAATTGATGACGCGTCACATGCCTAACAGCCAACCTGTACGACCACTTGCCGCAAGTGCGCGTGATGCGCCTTGCACGTAGCATGGCACGTAATAATAAATAAATGCCTTTGCATGCAGACAAATGTCGGACTCAACAACAACAAGTTCTACCTGATTCAGCTGCTGAGGGACAATGACATCAAGAGCTTCAGTGTGTGGATGCGCTGGGGGAGAGGTGAGCAACTGCTCTTACTGCTGGACGTTCTGCGTCACATGCCTCGCTTTCGTCTTTGTGCAGCCGCTGCTATGGTCGGAGCGGTAGTGGTAGCGGCTAGCGTGCCTACGCTACCAACCCAGCAATCCGAGTTCAATTCTCGCTCATGGCCAGCACCACTGACGAATATCTGAACCGGTCCTGGGCCTTCCCTAGGTTTACTCAGCCTCAAAATGAGTGCCTGGTGCGATGTGTAAACATCGCCACTGGGGAGACAGAGGCAGCCGGGTGTGGTGCGGGCCACCCACCCCCCGTGTGCCGTGCCGGCCTTCATAGGTGCTCGCTAACAGCCTTTCCCCCACAAGTCTGGTTCAGGCTATACGGGGATCTTTGTCTTCTTTGAGTGGTGGTGCGCTTCAAACCCAGGCACCCTATGTTTAATTCCCGACCGTGGTGAACATCAGTGGCGAGTGATATCTGAACAGGTCATGGGCCGCTGCTTAAACCAGCACTGACCAGCATTGTGAAGTATGGTTACACAATCCCTATGTATCATATGCCAGTGGGAGGCCTTCATCCAGTAGTGGACTGATAAAAGGGCTGCAATTGATAATTTAGTTCATCTGAGTGCATCGCACCTTACGTTGCAAATTCATCCGCGCACACCCACCTGCATTGCGAGGCCCATCACGATGTTGACTTTCAAACTGCAGGCAGCGCAGTTAAGTGGTGGTCACTTTGTCGTGTTGGGTTCCATTCTCAAGCAGTGCACATCGAAAAAAATTAATCGCTACCGTTTGTTTTTCATGGGTCGCGCCTCGATCAACTCTGCCCTGAAAACACGAGCTCGTTGTGTACGATCCGCGAGATCGAGCACTGAATATGGGTGAACGATGATGATGATGATGATGGCAGAGTGACCTTGCTGATCTCATCGTCACCAACTTTAACGGGACACGGGCTAAACGGGGCTTTGACTTATGACTCAGCGAGGATGCGAGCGCGATGCCTGCTCTGTCGCCTTCACCCTTGGTGTTTGCGTGTGCCTTGCAGTCGGAAGGGTTGGAATGAATTCCTTGAAGAAGTGCAGTAACCTGTTGGACGCCCGGGAACTGTTCGAGGATAAGTACGTGGGGAGCGCGCACGCCACAACTTTCTTTGATATTTTAAACATCTATAAATACTATATATATATTTCTTCCCATTCGGTAGAGTTTACTATTTTTTACGTTTGAGTATTAATGTGACGACGGTGCTTTTGAGTGACAGATTTGTGCCGTAAAGGCACCACCACGTGTGTAAGCAAACATAACATTTGCTTGACTCGCTCAACACGCTCGCTAATCCCTCGCGCTCATGCGCACACGCACGCTGTCCTCGCCTGGCGTTGGAGTCACATTAAGAGTTGCGTTGCCGGTGCACGTTCAGGACCCTGTGGCCAAAACGAGGTTTCTAATGCCGCCTTCCTTTTCTCCGCATGTGACGGACCCATATCTCCATCTGTAAAGTAATTCCAATCGCACCTCACTTTAAAAATAAATAAACGGCTTTTTCGTTCCTGGAGTGCGTATCCCGATTTTTCAGAGGCATTTACACACGCTTTAAGTCAACATTGTAGTTGTATCTACATGATGAAAACTGCTTGTGTTTGGTTGTTTTTCTTTTAATGTACGGATAGGCACAGGATATGCGCAGAGGACCGAACACCTTTTTAACAACTTAACACCTGTTTTGTTGCCAGATAAAAGGGGAAAAACCTATTATAAATGTGTCGTTAAACCCGCCACCACCCGACACAGCCATTTAGTAAGGTTTGTCGCGTAAACAAAACATGCCAATTAGTTGCTGGTACAGCACACCGATGTGTTGGAGAGCAAATCCACAACATTTACAAGCTGAGTACTGGTCCAATGTTGCTGTTGGTTGGTGTCTTGTCTTGAGACAAATAATCTGTATCTCCCACGGAGCTGTACGTTCAATAACGTACCACAAACTTTTTTTTCCTGCAGTTATTGGTGTCCAAGCTGACACAAACTCGCTACACGTGGGGACCCAGTTTTTTAACAGCAGGTAGCTGAAATCCAGATTTGAACCCCGGATCTCACCTTTGTGCCAGCTCAGTACTCTGACCCCTAAGCCACTGAGGCCAGTTTGTATTTCTGCTTTCTCCATACTTTTATTGCCAATGGGACAGGACACTTAATCTGCTGTGAAATAAAATGTGCACGTAATAACAGATGAACGTTTAAATGCGAACCTCTGTTTGCACGCAGATTTTTACAAAAGACAAAAAATGAGTGGAGCCAAAGAAGTTCATTCCAGAAGGTGCAGGGAAAATACGACATTGTACCCATTGACTACAGCACCGACGCTATGGTAAGATTCCACGATGGGAAAATGCTTGTGTGGTCATGGTAAAGGCACTTGCTCGTGCCACTGCTGGCTGAACGGCTTCCATTAGAGGGCGCTCTGGAGGAGAACCTCTCTAAGGATTATTTGGCCTAATCTTCCACACTGGGCAGACATCTTTGAAGAGGTGGGAGTACCCACACTTTACCACACCACACGAAACCTCAGAATCAGAATTTTTATCCTGGAGTAATCCAATGAGCTATAAAGCTATTTTTCACAGACGTCCAGTATGGCTGCCAATTGAATGCTGTATCCATTTCTACTGCTGGGTGTAAACAGAGGTGGGGGTGGGGGGGAATTTCAGAAACGTATTATAGCTGCCACAAGTACCGTGCGGTAAACATCACAGCACGGCAGCATCCTGCTTACGGTGGTGTCAAATATTGTGATTCGTAATTGATGTTTGGGTCAGATTGCCCATGTTCGCGAAATGTGGTGTTGTGCATCCTCCTTTGCCCCGATAGCAAATTAATAGAGTTGTCACGTGGGCTACAAACGTTCCAATGTATTCTTACTGCTTTAGCAGCAACACCAGTGTTGCTGGAGAGCAACCTCACGACACTTTACATTTAGGTAGTACCAGGTTTTGCTCATAATTACAACTAGCATTATTATCAGACCTTCGCCAGAAGAAAATATACATTACTGCCATTAGTAAGGATGTATGTTGAACTGCTTTTGCACCGTACGTAGCCAACAGCACGAATCGGAGGTGCGGGCGAAGGACGACAAATTAAACCTAAAACTAATTTAGGTTTAAAGAAATTAGTTTTAACTTGATTGAAAACTAATTTCTAAAGGAATTAGTTTTCAATCCAGTCGCGTGTTTTTATACTACCATACTCGTAACATTACTTTCATGTCGAGTTGAGCCTTCGTTCGCCTGTCTGTGCGATGAGAATCGCTCCAGTGATGTGCATGCTAACCAAGCAAGGTTCCTTTACGTACGATGATGACCACTTAAATTTGTAAACAAGACGAAATAAATTATAAAACTTGAGCGCTGGGCTTTTCCGTTCTCTCCCCCGCCCCCCCCACCCGCCCCGTCCAGCAGCAGACGACCGAGACGGACGGGGCCCAGAAGCCGCCACCACTGCAGAAGCAGTCGCTCCTGGACCTCCGCGTGCAGAACCTGCTGGAGCTGATCTGCAACGTGCGCGCGATGGAGGAGACCATCTTGGAGATGAAGTTCGACGCCAAGAAGGCCCCGCTCGGTACGCGGGTGCCACGCGGGGCAGACGGGGCCGGGTAGACGTCGGCGAACGTTTGTTATCAAAATTCAATTTAAGCCGAAATCACGTTCCAAGCTCAAGTGGATGTGAAATAGCGGCCATCTGTCTCTTCACTGGGCCAGGAGAAGAATATCCGTATTCTCCTGGTCGGGAGCCAGACCTTTTCAGCGGTGGTACTCATTTTATCTTCCATGGAGGGATTGAGGGTTCACTGGAACTTCGACTGGCGCTGCCTTGTGAAAGTCGAGCGCTCCGCTAACGGCACCACTGGGCCTGGTTTGACTTACGTAAATCTCGACCCTAATGCAAATTTGAATCAATTGAAGGTGATATTTGTTTAGATGTTTTCCTCGGATATACACCGTGTCGGAGCCTCTGAGCAAGCGCCGTTGAGAGTCTGTTTAAATCTGGGCTATGACACTCGTCTTCGCAATGTTTTGTCAAGTAGAAAAAACGTTTGACGGATGTAACACAGTCACCGATGGCTATATATACCCTCATTGAGTTTTAGAATGTTACTGGACTTAGCCTAGACTTGACTTTCAGCCGCCCTCTTCACAGCATGCACGAGCGCCATCGAGCGTTGGCTGAGTGGCCCAGCGGCCGATCGAAGAGAATTGTTGACATCGTCCTGATCAGTTACATGACATGATATCAGCCTCTATTGTCTGTGGGAGTTCTGGAAAACAGCGTGTCGCCAAGTCTTGCTATAATTACGATTGTGCAGATGTGATGCAGTTTGCGATGGTGAGCAGCAGAGGACAGTGCAGCAACATCCCGTTGTTGTACTTCACTTCTGTTATCCCGCACCTTCTCTCCATGCACTGACCAGGGTGGTGAAGTATGGTTAAGGCAAACCCCAACAACACATAGGCGGTAGCAGCAGCAGTCTGTTCCGCGGACAGAGCTTGGCAGAGGAGGGACCGCGTGCGCTTGTGCTTGCAGGCAAGCTGACGAAGGCGCAGATCAAGGCCGGCTACGAGTCGCTCAAGAAGGTCGAGAGCTGCCTCAAGAGGAACGTGTTCGGCCGCGAGATGGTGGACGCCTGCAGCGAGTTCTACACGCGCATCCCACACGACTTCGGGTGCCCCCCTCACAACTGCCGGCTTCCTCACCCACTCACCAATCATCAGACCCACCCGCCCCTTGCAGCCAAACCCGCTCCTCGCACTTACCACTCCTCACGCTCACCGCCCCCTCGCAATCAATGCTCCTCGTACTAATCCGCTCATCGCCGCTACTCGCTCACCGCTCCTCGCCCACCGCTCCTTGCAATCAACCGCTCCTCGTGCTCACCACTCACGCTCATCGCCCGCTCACAATCACCGCTCCACACTCCCGCGTCTCCCCATAACTCCTCACACCCACCGCTTCTCACCACTCCTCGCACTCTCCGCTCCTTGCGCTCACCGCTCCCTACATTCCACCGCTCCCTACCACTCCTCACACTCACCATTCCTCACCTGCTCCTCAGACCCACTGCTCCTTACTGCTCCTCACATCCACCGCTCGCTGCAAAGGCCTTTAGCAGTTTAACTTCGTGCTGTGTGTGAACATCAGTAGTGGGAAGACCAAAGGCGGCTAATTTTGTGTGGCGCTGACATCGCTCACGTCTCGTGTGCCATGCCGACCTTAATGAGGATCCAGTAAAATCGCTCACCCCAACAGTTCGTAAAGGCTTCACGGGGGAGTCTTGCCTTTGCGTAACGAGTGTGTGTGTGTGCGCTTGAGTGAGTGGCTGTGAGAGGTTATGAATTCTCGAGTCTGTGTTTCACCCGACCCTTCACCTCCCTCACTCTGCAGCATGAAAACCCCTCCACTCATTCGCACTGAGAAGGAACTGAAGGAGAAAATTCAGCTTCTGGAGGTGAGTGGCGGCATGCGTATTATTATGCTTATTTAACCAGGTGTCTCATGACTCTTTATTTCACGATGGTCCTGCAAAGTTTTCGCACAAGTGAATGATGCTTTTTTTGTATATTCAAATTGCGTGATTTGCGGGTATTTGTTTTAAATAGGGTAAATTTGGACCATGATTGCCAACACACGGTGGACTACTCTTGCAAATGACGTCATGGGACTTCTAACCTCAACTGTGAAGCGGGTGGCGTGCAGTGTTTTTATGGTCAATACACCCGCGGTATTAATCAGGGCGGCCGTTAGATTTGAACCGTGAACCTCTGCATCAACTGGCAAATGCGCTATCGCTAGGCCGTGTCACACGCCCGAGTGCAACAACCGGCGCTCTCGCTGCGTTTTCTCAACACGAGTTTTGAGGCCACAAAATTGTTGTGCATTTGCGTGTCTCTGTCTCCCTTTGCTTGTGTCTGTCTCTTTCTCTGTCCCTCTCCATGTCTCCCTGTGTGTCTGTCCATCTCTTGTTTTTACCTGAGTGTGTGTTTTTTTGTCTTCCTCTTTCTGTATTTCAACTATATGTTTCTCTCCGTGTCTCTGAGTATGCCAAGCTGCTTCTGTCTGCTGTGCAGTTTTCTGTCTTTGTCTCCATGTCTCACTTTGTGTCTCTCTCAGCATGTCTCTGCACGTGATCCTTATGGCGGTACCCCAGGGTACCAAATAATACAAAATGGCTGAGGCAATTAAATATTTTATTTCTGGGACACTTTTTTTTCCGGGGGTGTTACTTCACTCCGCGACTGGTGGTACCAATCAATCCGAAATCAGTGCCACTCCGCAATGTCGAAACGCCAAACAGCATAAAATATTCGTTATCGAAAAATTTAACTTTGAATAGTGCATCGTGTACAGCTCGTCGAGATGAGTCGATTGCCGCATCGCCGACCATCAACAGAAAATGACTGCATCACGGACATTATGCGAGAGTCGGGGTACTGCCATAAGGTTCATATCTCTCTATCTCTCTGTCTCCTTATAATTTTTCACATCGCTCCCTCTGTTTTCTCTATATATAGATGTTTCTGTTTGTGTGTGTCTCCTCTCTGTGTCTCTGTGTTGAGACGATCCCGACGACGATGATAACGAGAGCGATTTAATCCGCACTGTACACGTGTAGGCGACACGCATCCTGCCTCGTCAAAGTAATCTCCCCGATGAGGTGGAGGGGGTTTATTTATCCGGTTCGACAAGCGGACTTAAGAGCTCCCTGCCCGCGTCAACGACCGCAGGTGCTGAGCGACATCGAAATCGCGATCAAGTTCATCAGGTCGGCGGAGCAGACGGAGCACAGGCTGGACCAGTGCTACCAGGAGCTGCATTGCAAGATGACTCCTCTGGAGAGGGACCACGCCGACTTTAAGGTGATGCTCGAGAGAGAGGGCAGCCGGATAGATATTTGAGACGTGCAACAGCTATTATTATAGTTATTAACAGATAGCTCTGCGTGCTTGGAATTACCGTTGAGACAAATAAGAGGGCGTCAGAGTGGTGATCAGTGGCAACATTTGTGGCTCACGGCAAGTTGGGCCAGGGTTCGATTCTTGACCTGGGCACCTTTCTGTGTGGAGTTTGTATGTTCTCCCCCCGGTTCTGCATGGATTATCCCTGGGTTCTCCAGTTTCTTCCCTTAGCTAAAAACATACAATGTAATTGTTTCCTCCCATGAGTCATTGGACTCGGTGTGACTTTCGTGGGTAAATAAATACTTGTTGTTCTAAGCAATGGCGGAGCCAAGATTTTGAGCTAGGCGAGCAACCCCCTCCAGCAATGAAAAATGATCGGAGTTGTTAGGAAGGACTTGTCCCTTTGCTTTTTATTCGACGCATGTGCGGCGATGGCGCAGCCATCGATTGAGGGTTGAATTCGAACTGTGTGTGATCGGCATCGTGCTCGCTGAAGGCCTTCAGGGAAGTTGTGTACTGTATACGCAACTGCGCACAATTCTGTGAGTCACTTATAACTGCTTTGGCAGTGGGGGTCGCAAAATGCCGATTTATTACTAATAAACCCCAATTATCCGATCGAAATTAGGGATTTCGATCGGATCATTGGGGGGGGGCAACGTGCCACCCCACCCCCCCCCCCCACTGGCTCTGCCAGTGGTTCTAAGGAGGAGAACACAGATTAGAGACGTGATATTGACCGTTAAGAAATAAGTGCGTGGTTTTACCACTCGATAGTCGCTCTCCGTCGCACGGCAGCCTCTCCTTACCCGGTGTACGATCGCCCCCCTCGTCTCCCCACAACACCCCCCTCCCCCCATTCCCCCAACCCCACGCCACCGCAGATGATAGAGCGGTACATGACGTCGACTCACGCCAGCACTCACAACGAGTACTCGCTCAGCATCCTCGACGCCTTCGTGGTGGAGAAGGAGGGAGAGGCGGAGAAGTTCCTCGCCGACTACGGGAACCGGTCAGTTCGCACACCTTAAGCGCCCGCGGGTTGTTTGGTTTCTTGGCGAACAATTCAAGTCGATTGACATGAATTCTCACACGGTGCACTCGTCCAATCGGGCGCCTCCAGAATTGTGTTTTTTTACGTGTTATGCAAATTGTATGCTAATGTGCTCGTCATGCCAGGGATGGGCATCATTTTCCCACCGAGGGCCAATGAGGACTTTTAAACACCTTCGAGGCAGGCCACACATTACCACACACGTCAGTGACTTAAGTCTCAGCAGTGACCTGGCGTACTAAAATAAGAAATGCTCTGCAGTGCCGCCAGGTTAGCGATATTCGGATTCCTCTAGTCTCAATCAAGATTCTGATGTTCCCCTCCAGTACCCGATTAGTGCGGCTAAGATGCTAGTGGAGATAAATATGATTTGCAAGTTGTTTCAACTCAGGTCATATACATCCCATGGGTCTTAAGTTTTCCAACCTTGCTTTAGGCCAATGGAATAATTGAGACAAAGCAATTGAGGTTTCACAAAATAAGACCCTAAAGATCATAGTCTCTTGAATTAAATCATGACCCCAAATTAATCCACTTCATGGAATCGTGGCAGGGATTGGGGTTGGTGGTGAAAATTGCAGCATTCCTGCTCTTTTGGGGTTAAAGGGCAGGATTTACAGGGGCAATCGCTCAACATTCGCACAAGGCTTCTGTTTCCAAAAAGCGGTTGGGTAATCCGGGTGATCCACCCGACTCCTTGACCTCGGGGTGGTTTTTGAGCCCACTCTAGGGCCATGGAGGTGCGAAACGCGTTTATACTGTGGTGGTTCCTACTGCTGTCAAGTTCACCTGTGCCGTGACTCCTTGGTGTCGTGGCCACGTTCCATCCTTTGTCTCTCCGTTGGTCATCGGTGGCTTGTGGTTTCTGTCTTGGAAGAGCAATCTATTCCTCAAATGCAATGTTTATTTACACAAGGTCAGGTGGCTTAAAATGGTGAATTTGTAATTCGAATGTCGATCGCCCAGTGGCTTTATCTGACTTTTCTCTACAAGTTGGTAATGGTGCATTCCATGCAGCTTCCCAGGATGTGACGGGTCTGATGGAAGCCCAGCTCTAGTTCATTGTTATTCAGATTATCATCTTCATCACACGTTGCTTCCACATTCACATTATCGCTTCGATCTCCTGCATGCGTGTTTTTAACGCAGCATGCTGCTGTGGCATGGGTCGCGTCTCTCCAACTGGGCCGGCATCCTGAGCCAGGGCCTTAAAATCGCTCCGCCAGAAGCTCCTGTCACTGGCTACATGGTGAGTGGCTCAGCCTCGCTTTTTGTCTCACCCTGTCTGTCGTCGGTGACACTTAAAAGTTGGAGAGGCTCAAGTTTGACACTTTCCAATGGAGGTTAAAGTGTTAATGCACTAGCCCTGCCCCATCTGTCTGTAATGCGGGGTGCACAATAACTCTCGTACAGAAGATTCAATATAAACAGCACTTTAGTATAAACCTTTGCTGCTAGAGAAAAGCGGCCAAATTCATCAAAGTCACCAGTGTGTTGGCAACAGGAGTGCACAACTCTGCTCCTCAAGGGCACTTGGTGTCTTCTCGTTTCCATTTCAACTGAACTCTCCGTTACTGAACTGAACCCCTGATTGAAATATGAATTTGCTCAATGAGACCTTTTTTATTCGTTTTAACTGTTAAAGTACTTGGAGATTCCAAGTTATATATGACACCGACAGATTTCAGCCCTTGAAGTCACGAAGTTGTACAGCTCTTTACATGTTCCACGTGTATGTATGTTGAAATTCTTTCGCACCACACGTAGCCAACCGTGCTAATCGGAGGTGTGGGGGAAGAACAACACCTGACTATATTCAACAACCTTTGCCATTAGTTTGTTATCCTTCCCCTGCACCTCCAATGTTTCAAGTTTCATTTATTAGGTATAGCCCTGTGAGCCATGCGGCTCTTAAGTCGGGTGCAACCGCAACAAACAAAATTTGAACACAGAACATCTTAAAGCGACGACGCGTAACAGAAACATCCTGGAATAAACCAGCAAATATTCCACACGCAAAAAGAAAAACTTTTTAAAACGCTGTGTGCAAAAATCAATGTGGAGCAAGCCAACAACAACAGCAACCATAAGACAATTTAGATTAACCATAAGTTTTCGAATCACCAAAATAAAGCAATGTAATGTGTGTGTGGTTCCATTTGTCGTGTGTGTGTCGGACTTGCCCAGTTTGGCAAGGGCATATATTTTGCCGACATGTGCTCAAAAAGCGCCAACTACTGCTACACAACGCAGAAGAAGAACGTGGGCCTGGTGCTGCTCTCTGAGGTGAGCGTCGCAACGGGCAACCATATCTCGCTTGACCATGTACGGGCCTTGCTCAATCCACTGCTGGATGAGGTCCCTCCCCACGCCTTGCGGGTCGTGCAGGTTATTTGACAATATTCGTTATGCTATGTCGGCGTAGGTTTGGCCAGAAAAGCCTCGCCGAGTTTCAAGACTCGTGTAAGAATGTCCTCAATTAGAATGTTGGAGCAGCTCCATTCATGAGTGCTCGGCATGTGGGAGGAAACTGCAATAGCTGGACACAACCCAGCACACACACTCGGAGGAATACACTTAAAGGTTGCAAATCTATGTGATGCACTAACCATTGCCTGCAGTGTGCTAGATTACAGGCACCCATACCACTGCACCTGGCACCTTCTACTTAATGCCTCAGTGTGTGTCAGTCCTAGATCCTTGTTTTTACATGTGTGTGTGTGTATACAGAAGTGGTGGTTAGTGCGCTGCGTTACGATCTCCTTTGCCGCGTGTGCCTGCGTCACGTTCCGAAATTGAGCAAAATTTGATAAGCGACTTTCATATTGCGTGCTTGGGTATGAAGCCACTTAGCAACATCACCCCCTCCTGGCAGCATAATCCTCTCTTGCAGGCCAGTTGCTGCATTCAATTTGTGCTGCATAACGACAGCTGCCACTGGGTGGTGGGGGGGGGGGTCCCCCTTGGCTAGGCTGCCCACATCGAGGTGGTAACTGTGGTGCAAATGAAGTGAGGATGATGATGATGATAATGATGATGGTGTTCCGTCAGGTTGCCCTCGGCAAGTGTGCCGAGCTGTTGGCGGCTAACGATCAGGCAGACAAGCTCCCCAAGGGGAAGCACTCCACCAAGGGGCTGGGGAAAGTCGCTCCGGACCCCAGCAAGAGCGTCAAAATGTAAGAGTGCCACCTTCCCCAGTGACCAGAGAACTAGGCAGCCGTTCGTGTAGTTATTGAAAAAAGAAACGTGATAAATACGGTGAGGCACTCCGTCATAGCACTTGTGATGTCACTGCGTTGCTGTTGCATTAAAATGTATAGGATTGACATCACAGTGACATCACTATAGCCTGCTCGTAAAATTGCCATCGTGTGGTTACGGTACTTTCCTAAAACGTCACTGCAGCAATCTCGTTGCAGCACCGTGGCAACAAACCTGAAAGTCTGATATATTTTTATTCTAGCAAAGGATGTAAAGCCATGTTGGGGAGGCCAAGACACACAGCCTGGGGTACATTGCAATTGCGCTATCGCTAGGCAGAGAGCACAATCGGGACACGATTGGCAGCAACTACTTACAGATAAAGTTAAAACAAGAAAGCTGATTTGAGCGCCGCTTGCCGTGGGTGCGTGCAGAGATGGTGGCGACGTGACGGTGCCAATGGGACCCTCCAAGGAGACCAATGTCACCAACCCCAGTGGCTTCACCCTCAACTACAACGAGTACGTGGTGTACCGGCCCGAGCAGGTGCGCATGCGCTACCTCCTCAAGGTTAGCTTCGACTACAAACCCATGTGGTGACGACGAGGGGCCGAGCGGCAAGACTGCGGCGACCCCCGGCGGTGTGTGCAGCAGGAGGGCGCCGAGGATTGTGGGATATTTTGTCGGGTCGGGGGCGGTGATGTGACCGACTGGTAGCGCGTTGGCCAATCGCTTGTAGCGGTTCACGGTTCGAAACCGGGCAGGCTGCCCTGGTTAATATTGCGGGCTTGTTAACCATGCAATACAACGTGCCGTCTGCCTCACATTGGACGTTCCAAAGATCCCGTGACGTCGCTCAAAACGAGTAGACCGTTTTGTTGCCAGCATCACGGTCCAAATTTGCCAAATTCAAAAAATGTACTCGCAAATGATCGAATTGGGATCACACGTAGCAGTCATCACCCCCTACTGACAGCCTCCTGCCCATTTTCAGGCTGGTGCCAAGTCACCTGCTGCACTGGGACATCTGCCACTGGGGGTGCCTTGGAATTTTTGAGAGGCTCTTGAAGTTAGGGGTTTTGAAGCAACGCCATGTAAATGAACAGATTATTATAATCCATTTTCTGCGAGTCATAGCGCCTTCTTGATAGCCCTGTGCAATAAAGGCACGGATACCAAATGTATTAACGATTCGATTATTTGAGCTGGGTGGGATAGGAAGGAGCAGCCAGGATGCACTCAAGCGAGCATTGCCACCTATCCTGATTTTTCCCAAACATCCTCTCTTTGAGGAAGATAGCTTTCCTGGGAAATCTGTAAGTCTTCCCAGGAAGAAAAAAATAATCCTGTTTTTGTTGTCGATTTATGTTGTTGTCGATACTGTTATGTGTAGTTCTACCCGCTTATGGTATTGTGAGCAGATTTGTATTTCCAGGACATGCCCCAGTTTTTGTACCTCAGAGGTGGCAACCCCTACGCTCGAGTGAGTAACAGAGGTGGCGGCGTTACGAGTGAGCCAGCGATCGCATAAAGAATATTGTTTTAATTTCACGCTTGTTTCCCGAGAAAAGCCTTGCCGTGTCTCGAGACTTTTTCAGTAGGGTCCAGCCAAGTTTTCACATTTGAGGATGATGTTGCAATGTTTAATCCAAAATGTAGGGATTTGCAGTAAACATTTTTTAGCGTTCTCAGTTACGTTTGTGTGTTTTTGTTACCTCTTGTTGGCCCTTGTGTTTAAACTGAATCCGATGCCTTGCTACCTCCGGCCAATGCCAAGGTCCCATTCTAGCGGGAGCGGCTGTTTACCCTCATCGGCGCGCTTGTCTCATCACGCTCTCGCCCGTGTTGCCCTCCGGCTCTTTTCCTCGCACTGTTTCCGACTTGGGAAATCCCTCCCGCAATTGATTTTCACAAATTCCTGATGCATATCTTTTTTGTCAATCGAAGGAACGTATTCCAGCAATTGTATCTGCCACGATTGTCGGTCGTTTTGTTGCCTCTGACTAAGTCACCCGGATTGCGCCCAACCTCGTCAGATCTCGGAAGCTTCGTAGATTGAAGCCTGGATAGCGCTTGGATGAACGAGCTCGGTGCATGACAGATATTATAGGCTACCGCCGGGCGATGTTGCGGGCAGCAGAGGGCAGAAATCTAATGTTGTACTGGTACTCTATGCTCCCATTCTGTGCGCCATCACTGACCAGCGTGGTGAAGTATGGTAAAATAACCCCCACAGCCCCGGCACGGCATGAGTAGGCCCTTATCGTGCAGGAAAGGCCTGTACGTGTACTGTCATGTGCTCTCTGTTGCTGACCACAGTTAATTACACATCTTTGGGTTTGTGCTTAGCAACTGGTAACTGAGGCATTTTTTTTCCCCAGAACCTCATCCACCACCAAAGTTTACAATTTAATTTTTTGTTAAACTGCTCCTAAGTGCCGTAACTCTACAGTGAAGTTCCCGCACGTTGCGAGAGCGCTCGCTTGCGTTTGTTTTGCGACGCTTTCAATGGGGCCTTGGCACGCGATTGTTTGAAACGTATTTGAAAACTGAAAAGACATGTACTTCCTCTTATCCTGTGACAATGTGCTTTGTAATCGATGTGTTTGGTAGGTTTATGCGTTTCTCGCAGGATGCAGTCTTACACAAGTTTTCGTTTAGTTATTGCCTTCAATAAATCTGCTACGAGACAACACTTTCGACCTTCTCACGCCTTATTTTTTGAAGTGAGTACACTCCCATAATTACAAACGCATCCAACTGTGGTACAATGAGGGAAGCAATATAACAAGTATATTCCTGACCTATCTACATCGCGTCGTTTGAGGATTATTACTCTGTATTTGCGGGGTTTATCCGGAACATCCAGATTGCTCCTACATGGCATCTGACATTGAATTGTCACAAATCTGGGTCTTTGATTCAAGAATCTAACTTTAGTTTTTTTTCTATCTCTAATTTGTAGTTGCATTCGCTCTTATTAGATTTAATTGTAACACTTGCACAAAACTTCTCGAACTTGTCATTGATTTCCCTGTATACAATTCGTCAAGGTGCTGCCCTGAAATTGCCCGCTCACACCACTACTTGGTGGAAGGACCTCCATTGGAGGGAGCTCGAGAGAACCTCTCTAGAGGGTATTTGGCCTACTCTTCCAGGAAGGTGTGGGAGAAACCCACGTTTTAGCCCACCACACCACGGCCTGCCGATCGACTAATTGGTGAACCCATTTACACTGCTGGGTGGACCTGGGTGGTGGGGGATTTATGAAACTTGCACCGTTATTTTAATTCATACCAGGTGACCAGCGTGCTTATCATTACACCATGGCAGCATCCCTGTGAGCATTTTAAATGATGTTAATTGATGAACATGACTAGAATTCTAAAAAAACTGGGTTACTACAATAACAGGACAGAGTGTAACTCAAAAAGCGCATTTAACGTTTTGCCACCACCACCGCTCTACGGAATATCTGCTTTATTTACAAGTGCGCGTCACATTTAAAATCGCTCGTTTATCATTAAAACTACTCAAGTGCGACTTAATCAGAGCTGAGTAACAAGCGTTTCATTACAGTATTCCCAATGACTAAAACCCGACTACTGTGCGTGGTTTTACTCTCGCTTAATTGTTCTAAAGACGACCGTTGCGCTGGCTAACGTCAAGGAAAAAAACGCCACTTTTTTAAAATTTTCTTGCTGTGGTTTTCACACCTGATGATTGCTTGTGTTGCAATCGAAACGTCGTGAGAATGTTTTATTTTTTTATTTTCTCACTTCTACGTGACTTTACCGAAAGAACCAAGAATACGTTTTATTCTAGTCGGCTTACCGGCCCGTCCTCCAGGGGCGTGCGGTTCGGGTGCCCGTGATTGCGACAGTGCTCAACCATCCCGTGATAGGCAATAACTTTATAGGCGAGAACGATAATAAATTTAATTAATGAATGCAGGCAGTGTCATTCCCGGGCAGATGTGTATATGTGCAACATGCATATAACAATGATAATACAAGCACCGAGTATTGTAGTTACATTAAAAGGTAAAAGTGCAGCCCAGCAATTCCTTGGCTCGTGCCACTGCTTAACGGAATGGCCTCGACGAGAGAAAGCGTCTAGAGAGGCCCTCTAGAAGGTATTTGGCCTACTCTTCCACGCTGGCCAGACGTCTTGGAAGAGCTGGGAGTAGTACCCACACTTCACCCCACCACCACCACGTGATGTGCCGATCCTTTAAAATTCGATAGGTGGCGGCATGGTCGCATGGGGCCATAGCTGAGCCACTGCTGCTGCTGCTTTCCAAACAATGCTCAACTTTCACAAAGAAAAAAGATCCCCCCCCCCGTATAGCCTTCACAGAATGTTGGGGGCAAGTGCTGTTAGCGAGCACCTATGAAGACCGGCACGGCACACAAAGGGGTGGGGGGAGGCCAACACCACCCCCGGCCACCTTTGTCTCCCCAGTGGCGACGTTTACACCGTGCCAGGTACTTATTTTAGGCTGAGTCGACCTAGGAAAGGCCCAGGAACGGTTCAGATAATCGTCACCGGTGTTGGTCGTGAGCAGGAATCGAGCCCGGGTCGCTGGGTTCATAGCGCAGCGCGCTAACCGCTACCCTACCTGCAACGTTCGTGCCAAATGTGTCACGCAGCATCTACGCACTTGAATTCCCTGCCCATAACGCTAATCTCAACACACGTGGCTCGGAGGAGTCTGTGGGTTGGTATTGCAATGATCCATTATGAGATGGTAAAAACTGCTTCGGAAGACCGTAACTTAAGGTCACGGCAGCGTTGCGCGAAAGGAGGAGAGAGATGGAAACTCGTTACGATGCGAGAACGAAGGGGAAATGGCATTACAATTTACCCCTCCCACCTTGTTGGTGGAGAGATGTTAACTATCTCGCCTTGTATACACGAAGTCGTGGGTTCGATCCCAACCCCTTGACGCTTGTTGTATAATTGGAGTTTTGTGTGTCTCTCTCCCCGTGGTCGCATCGATTTTTCTCCGGGTCCTCTCGATTTTTTCCCCTCCACATTTGGAATCAACATCACGCGTTTAAGAGTATTTTGGCTGCTGTACATTTTTCCCCCGTGACGATAAGCTACTTTGTCGATCTGTCGTTTGTGACAGGCAGGCCGCTTCTGAAAAAATGAGTTTACATCGCTCAGTTGATGCCTTACCTGGTAAAAATTTAATTAAAAAAATAAAAGTTCCGCATTTAGTTTTATCCCATGGAAGAAACACGAGGATGGCCACCGAGCGGACACCACGACGAGGAGATCAACGATCCCGAATCGCCACGGCAGTCGAGCCTCGTGCGAGGTGAGGAGGAGAGGGGGGGGGGGATCATTCTCTGGGTTCCTCCGCTTTTGCCCCCTTCCTCACCTTCCCAACGTCCGAGAAAGGCGTGACTATAAATTCCCCCGCGTGATGATGGTGTCAGCCCACTTCCATGAGCTTCGTCGTGCGTGGCAAGGTCACATCTGAAAAATAGATTCTGGCTCAGCAGGGCTTTACCTGGTAAAATAGTGTAGTTTTTTTTATTTGTTTGACAATCCACGAGAGGAAGCGTCAAGATAGGTCCTCTAGAATGTATTTGGCCTACTCTTCTACGCTGGTCAGACGCCTTAGGAGAGGTGGGAGTAGTACCCGCACTTTACGCCACCCCACCCCACCCCAAATGTTATCCCGAATCATGTTGCCGTCATCTCGTGAGATGAAGAATCCGTCGGATCTCTCTCAGCGCTGTGCGAAATATCGCAGAGTTACCTCTGAAATCCCTTCACGTCAACTCTGCTTTCCCACAGTAGGGGCGGGGGGGGGGCAATGCTTTCCCATCTTGTCTGCCACACGAGAGTAATGTTTTGACGGACGGCAGTCAGATCGATATTTTTTAAATCTCAAGAGCTGGAGTCGTGCCAAATATAAGTTTTTGTTGTTGTTGTACCACATGCTGAGACCACTTGGGAACCCGGTTTAAACACAGGTGGCTGCCTGCATTAATAAAACAACCACGATCTCAGCTGTGCCAGCTCACCGCACTTACCTCTGAACCCACGCGGCCACCTCCAGACGTACAACTTTAATTGTCTCCAAACCCACCGCACGGAGGTGTCATGTTGGCAATACCAGGCGTGTGCCACCTGTGCGCCAAACACGAGGGCTTCTTTCCGAGTGGTCTAGAATTGCTATACATTTTTGTTTTATCGCTCTTGCCATTATTTACACAGCTGCCGCATTTGGTTGACTTTGCAGTCATGCGAGCTGGTGTGCGTGCAAGCACGACGGCATGGGGCCTTCGTACGTGGAGTTTTGCCGTTTTGTGGCCGAGTTTTACGGGTGACTTGTCCAGCGATGGGAACTTGTGGCACCGCGAGAACGAGGGGAACTGCAAGACAATGGAATAACAAATGCACCCCTCCCACCTTGTTGGCGGCGAAATGTTAACTACCTCGCCTGGTTTTCAGGAAGGTTGTGGGTTCGAATCTGACCCTGACGCCTACTGTATATTTGGAGTTTGTGTGTTCTCCCCGTGGTCGCGTCGATTTTTCTCCGGGTCCTCCGGGTTTTTCCTTCACATTTAGAAATGTGCGTTTAAAGTATTTGGCTGCTATACATTTCCACATGATAAGCCACTTCGTTGAGCTATAATTTGTGATAGCTAGGTTGCTTCTGAAAAATAGCTATATAGCTCAGTGGGCCTTACCTAATAAAGTAACAATAGTTTAGTTTTAGCTTCGGTTATACGTCCACAATTACTGCTTATGTCCCAACTGGTAATGCCAGATGCCAAACAAGTTGTTGCCAGTTCTGAACGAGGACCCATTTCTCATGGAGTCCTCGCTTACAGCATATGGCAGTGCACCAGCATTGATTCAAGCAGGTCTGACTGCTGATAAGACGCCTGCATGTTGAAACTGGTGCTGCTGAAATGATGCACTCCCGGAAGGTCATGGGGCCGAGGGGTTGCGTGGAAATACTTTGTATATTTTGTGTGGAGAAACGGCTATGTGAAGGAGAAATATTGTCTGCTTATCTATTTTATTCTAAGAACAGTTCAGCTGTACAAGTAAAAACATCTCATAGGTCTATCACTGGTAAACGTGTGACGGTTCACCCGCGTTGTGATATGAAGAGTTATAATAATAGGGGTTTTCCCCTTTTTTCTGGCAACAAAACTGAAACCTTTTTTTACAAGGAATCATGTGTGCATTACCCACAATACTTGTGGTCAAAATGCAAACAAAAAACACACTCTGATAATATATGCATTGTCCTTTAAACTGATTGGTCCACACCAGAGACGGCTTTCTTTTGAGCCTCGTCTCAATTGGTGTTAGACTAGAGGACGCCAAAAGGCGTACAGCTCAAAGACAATGCACTATTAGAGTAATGAGGCCTCGGGGTAAGCATCTACATCATTAGACCTCCTCTGGTCTAGCACCAATTGAGACGAGGCTCAAAAGGAAGCCGTCTCTGGTGTGGACCAATCAGTTTCAAGAACAATGCATATATTATCAGTGTTTTTTTTTGCATTTTGACCACAAGTATTGTGGTTAATGCACACATGATTCCTTGTAAAAAGGTTTCAGTTTTGTTGCCAGAAAAAATGGGAAAAACCCTATTATATTTTGGTACTGGCAAAGGAGGTCTCATGATGTAAAGAGTCGTCGTGGTTCAGGTTTGATGTT